GCCCGGAGCAGCTGCGCCTTCCCACCTGCTTCCCCTTCACCCCCAATTCAGCGGCTCTGGCAGCCCGAGGGAGCCCCCTAAAATGTAAACCTGACCCAGCTTCTCCAGAACTTACAACTCCGCCCTCTCTCCCTCTGGGTAAAATACTCCATAATCAGGTTCACAGCCTTCTGCCCGATCACCACCCCCACCCAAAAGCAACTTGCCCGCCTTTGCGGGGGCCGGGAACGCTTCCGGCCCCTCCCACCTAGTGGATCTTGGGGTCCACTGCCCTTAATCCGCTTGTTGACTTGAGCGTTTCCCCTTGGGCGGCGGCGGCGGTGGTGGTGGAAAAAAAAATGAGGGGGGTTGGGGGTGGGAAGGGGCCATATTCTAAACCTGACAAGCTCAGGAGGCCTGCTGGGCGGCCTGACAAACTCAGAAACGGAAAGTAACCGCATAGGATGGTCTGAAATGGAAACTTTCCAACTACAAAAGTTCATGGGAGTAGTCATGTCCTAGGGCAGTGTTTCTCCCTAACAAAGGTCAGTCTGCAACTGAACTGGGCCTGCCTGTTGTCTTCTTGCATCTACAATAACATACCTTCAGAATGTTAATTTCCTTTTTTCTCCCCCTGAGCTTCCCCCCACAGTGCACAACCACCCACTAAAGCAGAGACCACAGATCCCCTCATTGTTATTTTATCATATTAATTGTTGACTGTTGACTATCCTACACCCACGAATGTGAAAGTGTCTATTCCTTTTACTTTTTATCCAATCAGTCCCAGAGATTTCCCTGCTTTGCTCTCTCCCGCCTCCTTAATCTATCACCAGTGAATTCCATCTAACTTCTGTATATCTTCCCCTTTTATAATGATGCATAAATAAGTGGTAAAACGGCCTTGGCTGGGTGGCTCAGTTGGTTGGAGCATCATCCTGTGCAAAGGTTTCACGTTTGATTCCCAGTTAGATCCCTGGTCAGGGCATGTACAGGAGGGCAACCTATGGATGTTTTTCTCTCCCTCTTTCTCTAAAAATCAGTAAATAATATGTCTTCGGATGAGAAATAAATAAATGGCAAAACTGGAGAATCACAGTTTTGAGCATTTTCTCAATCCTTTGAGATTTTGCTTCCCTGCAATTGTTAGTTTGGTTCAAAATAAAATCATAAAAATTCTCTACAGGTTTGAATGTTTCTTACATTGACAAAACTCTGGGCATGCTGAGGTCCAAGTGGTCCCTAAATTCGGGGCAGTATCTCCAAGGCCCAGAATTCAACTGTTGAGCCCAATTCTGTTTACCATGTGCTTAAATTCCTAGAGGCTTAGCAAGGATTTCCATTTTAAGTTGTAATTTCGATACTTTCCACACCCAGCTCCCTGGGAGGCATGCTGAAAGGAGAGTAAATTAGTAGGATCTTGGGAAGACCTGGCGGAAGCTCAGCCTCTGGTCCCTGCTTATGCCTCAGACCCCTCTTCCAGAAACTGCGGACACTGGGGACAGTCCAGCCAGCTGATGAAAACTTTATTTCCCACGGCAGAAGAAACAGACGTCTTCTTTTATGCTCCAACTGGGAATAGAACCCACCACCTTCTGGTGTACTGGACAATAGACCATTGGGCCACACAGGCCAGGGTGAAACACTGACATCCTAAGTGCTAGACGCTTCCACACCCATTAATTCGGGCCTCGGGAACCCACTTCCCCCATAAATTCATACGGACTTCCCCTCTTCATCACGAGGGCGTAGTATTATGAGTGCAGGCTCTGAAGGGGACTTCCTGAGGTCTGAGTCCCGCTCCATCACTCAGCTGTGTGGTCTCAGGCAAATTACTTGACTTCTCTGTGCCTGTTTTCTCATATGTAAAGGGGTTTATCAAAAACTTAGATAGCTTTTACTATATTATACGCCTACCGCTGTTCTGTATGCTTTACACATTTTAATTCATGTAATTCTCATAGCAACCTTAGGAGTTTGAATTAGAATTATCTTCTTTTGGCAGATGCGGAAACCGAGACGCAGGCCTCCCCGAGGTCAGACGGCTGGTAGCTGGGCTGCCTGGTTCTAGTGTCTGTGCTCCTAACCACCACACTGGCACCTACTTTGTAGGGTCGAACAGCATTAAATAAACATGTGTAAACCACTAAACGCAGTCCCTGGTACATAAGTGCTGTATTACTTTTAATTATGTTTGTGACTCTCCAGCTTATTCTTAGGGCAATCCCGCCGCTCTCATGCTGTCCTTGGAGGTCCAGGAAGCTGCTCTGCACGCAGCACACGCTCAAGTGCATCTTCGGTCTCTCTCCGCCGCTCGGACCCGGGACCGTGACGCGACCTGCCCCAGAGCGAGACCCAGACGAATCCGACTGTGGGTCCCACGCCCCCGCTCACACCCCGTGCTGCTCGGAGCCGAGCCGTGTGGACCCCGTGCTGCTCGGAGCCGAGCCGTGTGGACCCCGTGCTGCTCGGAGCCGAGCCGTGTGGACCCCGTGCTGCTCGGAGCCGAGCCGTGTGGACCCCGTGCTGCTCGGAGCCGAGCCGTGTGGACCCCGTGCTGCTCGGAGCCGAGCCGTGTGGACCCCGTGCTGCTCGGAGCCGAGCCGTGTGGACCCCGTGCTGCTCGGAGCCGAGCCGTGTGGACCCCGTGCTGCTCGGAGCCGAGCCGTGTGGACCCCGTGCTGCTCGGAGCCGAGCCGTGTGGACCCCGTGCTGCTCGGGAGCCGAGCGTGTGGACCCCGTGCTGCTCGGAGCCGAGCCGTGTGGACCCCGTGCTGCTCGGAGCCGAGCCGTCCCCGACGACTCCCGCGAGTCAGCTCCTGGGCAGGCTCCTACCCCCGCAGGTGTCCTTCGCGCTATTTGTCACCTTTTGCACTTCCTAGGAAGTTCATTTCCTACCTGAGTAGGCTTCTTGTTAAAGTTTGGTGTAAACAAGAATTTTCTTACAATTGAATATTTATTATTGTCTCTTAAAGGCAGCGGAAGAAGTTGATAACATGGGTTGGAGAAAGGGGGACGGGGATGAAATTCTTTCTCTTCATCCGTTAGTCCGTTTTCAGGTATGACCTAAATTTTTTATTTAAAATTTTTTTTAATTAAATTTCATGAAGGCATGCATACAGCCCTAGAACCTTTTACAGAACAGAGTTTAAAACTTCTAATATTTGGTTTTGTAAGTAAGAAGTAACTTAGTAAGAGCCATAGTAAGTCTATGAATCACAAGATACCACAAATGTGCCTCCTTGTTCATGGGGAGAGGAAAGGTTTTGTCACCTTCACATACCGTTTCTTGTGTTTCCTCCTCGTTTTGACACTAATGTTTCTCTGATCAGAGAGGTATTGGAGTTCAACAAGTAAAATCTCCAATAGTTATTGTTATGCTGTTATCTGCTAGGACTGGTGCTAACACTTTTTGTTGTTTGTGGTGGGCTTTTGGTGGTTTTTTTGTGTGTGGTTTTTGTTTTTTAAGAATAAAATTGAAACACTTGTTCAAGTCAGTTAACTTTTTTATCTAAAAGTTCACACACATGCCCTAGCTGGTTTGGCTCAGTGGATAGAGTACGGGCCTGCGAATTGAAGGGTCCTGTTCAATTCCGGTCAAAGGCACATGCTGGGGTTGCAGGCTCGATCCCCAGTAGGGGGCGTGCAGGAGGCAGCTGATCAATGATTTTCATTGCTGTTTCTATCCCTCTGTCCCTCTCCTTTCCTCTGTCTGAAATCAATAAAAACATTTTTAAAAATAAAGTATACTAAGGTGAAGTATTATATCTGAAATTTAATTTCAAGTGTTCAGTAACAAAAATTTACATGCATAAAGCATACATAGCAGTATGTTAATTTCTAAAAGTAGGTGGTGTGTACTGGTGTTTTTTGTACTATTCTTTCCACTTTTCTGGGTGTTTCAATTTTTTCATAAGAAGTTGAGGGAAAACATACATCCTTGCCACAAGTCACCCATAGATGAAAGAAAAATGCCAGCTGACCCGTGGCTGGACAGGCCTTGGCCCTCAAGGCATCTTCTCCAGTTAGGAGAGGTGGGTGGGAGAAGCTCCGGGTTAGTAGGCAGGCTGTCAGTGCTTCTTTGCCCCTGGTCTCCCCAGGCCTCTGTCCCCTTTGGAAAGTGAAGTTTTGGATTAGATTCAAATAGATCCGAAACGTTCCTTGGTACGTGTTTAGTTATCTATTGCTGCATAACAAATTACTCCAAATTAATAGCGTAAAACTGCCATTTTATGTCTATGGATTCTGTGGGTTAGGAATTCAGAAAGGTCACAGCAAAGACAGCTTGTCTCCACTCCATGATGTCTGGGGATTCAGGACAACTCCAAGACTACGGGAGACTTGATGCTGGGGGCAGGAAGCATTGGGAGGCCCACCTAGCTATTCTATCCCAAGTGGCCTCCTATTTCCTGCATGGAGGCCTGTGGCTCTAAAGAACCAGGCAGAAGCTGTACAGCCTTAGAAGACGATGTGTGTCACTTCCACCGGAGTGCCAGATTAAGAGGGAGGAAACAAGACCGCACCTCTTGATGGCAAAAGTGTCAAACCCACAGTGTAAGAGCATACGGGTTGGGAGATTATCCGAGTACATTTTTTTTAATGTGTTGTAAATACTACCTTTCCACAACACTCGCCTGTTGTTCTAGAGCGGCTTGTCTCAGCTGGCTCCCAGATTGTGCCCTCTGAGCAAAGGGCCCCCCCTTCCCCAGCACTTTGTTCCTACTTGGCTACACTGAAAGACCTGCACTAGGGCTGGAGGGTGAGAATGGAAGTCTATGAACAGGGCTTGAACATGACTGAATTACTTGAAATTCTGGATGTGACTTGAACCTTTCTTCCCAAGGTTTTTAGATTTCCAAAAATGTTAATTCCTGGACAGACTATTCTCATAGCTTCAATTATCAACTCCATGTGAACTCAGATCTTGAGACTATATCTTTTCTAAGCCCCAGTTAGGAATTTCTAGCTATTTACTGGCTATATTAATTCATATTATCATCTTAATTGGAATCTTATGTTCAAAACAGTTCACCCTTCAGAACCCCCATCTTCCAATACTTCCACCAAGCTGTAAGGATCAAAATCTTGCCAATCTGGCCCAGCCAATGTGTCTCAGTGATTGAGTATCGACCCATGCACCAAGGTTGCTGGTTCAATTCTCAGTCAGGGTGCATGCCCAGGTTGCTGACTCAATTCCCAGTGCATACAGGAGGCAGCCGATCAATGTTTCTCTCCCTCTCCCTTTCTTTCTCTCTCTAAAAAAAAAAAAAGAAAGAAAAGAAAAAGAAAAAAAGAAAGAAAAGAAAATCAATAAAAACATTTTTTAAAAAAAGAAGAGCCAGCCGGCATGGCTCAGAGTGTCGACCTATGAACCAGGGGGTCACGGTTTGATTCCAAGTCAGGGCACATGCCCGGGTTGCAGGCTCTATCTCCAGTAGAGGGAGTGCAGGAGGCAGCCAATCAATGAATGATTCTCTCATCATTGATGTTTCTCACCCTCTCTGAAATCAATAAAAATATTTTTAAATAAAATAAAGATAAATCCAGGACTGGAGTTGAAAGAAGAGACTTCAATGAAAGACTCAATGCAAGACTATTTCATAAATTATAAAAGTACAGATTTAATCATTTGATTTTAAAAATGGAACATATCTTACATAAGGATTTTCTAAGTTAGAAATGTTATACCTATCTGGCACTACAGAAGATACACAACTCTTCCACAGTTCATAGAAGAGTAGATGGACAATTTTGATAAAGGATTGAGGAACAATTGAAAAACAGTTTACAAATAAGAAGGGAGAAAATGCTTCAAGAGGCTCAGTCCTCAGAAATTGTCCTGGAATGCAGTTTCATTTGTATCAATGTCATGTTCCTGGATGAGGGAATAAGACATATATTTTAGTATTTCAGGGCAAAGTCTGAAATGTGATCTTTAGTGTTTGGGACTTTGATTAAAGATTCTGAAACACTTAATTGGGACACATACCAGTAGGTTATTTCTGGCTTTAAACCCAAGAGTCAAGTTTTCACTACCAGGACAGGGCTTTTGACCACTGCCCATCACCCACCATAAGTAGGGAGCAAATACCATTGAAGGCGCTGATGCAAAGACCCATCAGAGTTGGCCTTGGAGCCTGTCCCTGCCTTGCCACCAGGGTAAGTACTGTTGGGAATCTACCTGAGCCCCCATCCCACATTTCAGTGCTGAGCAGCTATATCAGCAACTCACCTCTGGGTGCCATTTATTTCAGAGCATTGTAAATGCCCACATATTCCATCTGTCCCACTACACATAGGTCAGAGACAGCAAGGACTGCATTCATCCTGCTCTGACAGCCCCAACATCCAGCACTATGCCTGGCACATATGAGGCGTGCAGTATGAGTACCCAGCAGTGCCAGCCACTGCCACTAAAGGCTCAGACCCTGACTAGTCTTTCCACTCAGCATCTAAATTCCTAACTATATATATGGAGAAAAACAAACTCTCTATACTGCTTTATAGCCCTCCCCCACCCCATTTACTGGATCATGAATGTCTCCCTAAGTCCTAAAACTCTTCAAACATTTTAAATCTTATGGATCACCCTAGGAAGAACCTACTAATAATTTTTATTCTTCCCCACTGATTATTTTATTCTATTAAAACAGTGCTGTGCCCTGGCCAGTGTGGTTGAACATCGTTCCGTGCACTGAGAGGTTGCTGGTTCAATTCCAGTCAGGGCATATGTCTAGGTTTCAGGCTCCATTTCTGGCAGGGGGTGTGCAGGAGGCAGCCAATTAATGTTCTGCTCTCACATCGATGTTTCTCTTTCTCCCTCTCCCTTCCTCTCTTTCTCTCAAAATCAATAAAAAGATTTATTTTTTAAATTAAGTGCCGCTGCGCTGAGAATCCAGGTGGGTAAATCTATATATATTCAAGATTATTAAGACAAATTCTGAGGATCAGAATTGCTGGGTCAAAAGTATATACATTTTTAGGGCTTTTGAATAATATAAAAAATACCTCAAGAAAAGTGGGACCAATTTATTCTTCCAGCAATAGTGTCTGAATGCCCACTTAACAACAGTGGTTGGCATTTAATGTTAGAAATCCTGTCAAGGTATAAAAATGAAGGCCAGCTATAATTTCAAAGTCTTGGTCCTTAGTCCAGAGACAGATGGTTTCCAACGTAAAGTGCTGACCTCACGTCCTGCTCTATCCTTTGCTCAGTTCTCTCTAGCCACACTGGCACCACCATTGTTCCTCACACCTGCCAGGCAAAGCCCAGCCATAGGGAGTTTGCACAGGTCTTCCCTCTGCCTGGGACTCTCATCCCCCGCTATCTGCATGGCTAAATCCTTCAACACTTTCACGTCTTTGCTCCAGTATCAGCGTTGTGGTAAGACCTACCCCAGCCGCCCTATCCAATACTGCCATGTTCAGCCCTGATCCCCTTACGCTGCTCTGCTTTTTAATAGCATAGCACTTATCTAGCATAACATGTGATGTACTGGGATTATGTTCACTTAGTAGTTACTTAATACTTGCAGAATGAATGAATGGCATAAAACTCAGTGTATGGATGATACCGACACTCGAAGGACTCCCACATTAGTGGGCCTTCTAGACTCGTACCTGGTTCAATTTCTTGAACTCCACCACTTGGAAGAAGATGTGCTCAAGGATATGTTTGGCATCTTGTTGGTCCTTTGGTAGTTTATTGGTTACTCCAAGAATGTCACCACATTTCCTGACATAGAATTCCAGGTCTTCTTCAGTACCTAAGCACAGTTGGAGCAGTTAGATTAACCCTCACCTTCTGCCCCTCCCCAAGTACAAACTTATTGTGATTTAGATACCCCTGTCAGGTTCCTACATCTCTCAAGATCACTCACCTCTTCCTTGGGTAACGTGACCACAGGACACACTGTAAAGGTCTCTGATGCGCTGCTTTTATAAATTAGGACAAAAGTACGACACTCCTAACTAGAATAAAGCTAGACTGGCTCTGGCCCTCCTGTCCCCAGATCCAGCATTCCGACATTACAAAGAACAGCAACCAGTAGGAAATAAAATTACCATTCTCTGAATGAGCAAGGACCATTATGAGAAGGGCACATAGGTATTTTAAATAGCATTTATTATAGCAATATTATTGAAAAGGAATTAAGTGGAAATTAAAGAGGAAAAAAAATCCCCTGTAATTCCATCATCAGCATATGTCTGTGAAATCATCCCAGCAGCCTCATATTCAAGATGGAAAGCCATTACTGCCCTCCTTACACTGTAATTTCTTTTTTCCCCCTGTGACTTCTTTTTTTAAACGTTATGATTGAAATCTAACTTTTTAAATTAAAGTATTCAAACCATACAGCTCTTGTACTACCTCTATCCCCACCAATACTACCTAGGGTAATTACTGCCACATTATGCCTATATATTTACATATGTGTAAAAATGGGATCAAACTATAATAGCTCTGTAAGTTGCCTTCATCACTTAGCCATGTAATATGGAATTCCATGTCAAAGCTTACATCTTTCTTTTAACAGATGTATAATATTCTATTTTTTTTTTCATATTTTTTTAACCAATCCCCCTACTGATGGACCAGTAGACTGTTGCCAGTTTTTTGAATGCTACAATTAATATCTCTATAGCTATAGCTTTTTCGTTTTGCAATTCTACAAGGGTTTCTATAGGATAAATTGCTAGAATTGGAAATGCTGGGTCACATCATTATTACTGGTCTATTATTACTACTGGACTAACCACTATGTCTTGCTAATTTTTGATTGCCCAGCACCTACCCACAGTGCTTGGTGCAGAACAGAGATGCAGAACAATTTTCATTTTTGCATACTCCTTTCTAGTCTCTGGGGACATACAGTTGTTGTTCACATCGTTGGGATTCTACTGGACATGTGGTTTTCTATTTTGCTTTCTTAATTGAGGATTCTCACTTAAATTCTATCAGTGTCACTCCCTGGCCTTTATAAACTTCTTTTATAATGACTGCATATTGTCCCATCGATTGAATGTAGCACAATTTACTACCATTCCCCTGCTAGTGAACACTACAATCATTCCCAACTGTATTTTATTTTTTAAGTATGTAATGTAGTAGTCATCTGTATACCGTCATTTATCTCCTGAGAGTCCCAGGAGTGCGGTCTCTGCCTCCAAATGGTTAAGTTGATGCCTCTCGGCACATGTGTGCAGGCCCATTTCTGTCCTGGACGCTGTGCACGTCAGGGGGAGCACTGGACTGAGAGTCAGGAGTACCACTCACCGTGCAGCTGTGTGGACTGGGGTCTCATTTCCTCACCCACATGTAAGGTGGGCGTGCTCGATTCTCTCTAGGACCCCTTGGAAGGATCCAATTTGAAGTCTCTCTAATTCTTCTGGCCCTGACTGCATTTTCCTATTTAACTGCTCCTATGACTAGTATCCTAGATTTGCTATGTGGCAGCCAGGCTCAGAATTCACTCTGTGGTCACTAGATAGGTCAAAACTAAGTTCCTACAGGGATTACAGTTGAGACTTTGGCTTCTGCTCAGCACCATGTTCTAATTCACTGAGCTAACTGGCCTGGAAAGAAATTTACATGAAATAAACAAAACTGTAACTTTACTCTCCTGTTCATATTTTGTTCTCCCTAAATAAATGTTAAGTGTTCTCTCACAACATCTCTCAGAAGTTCACAATTAAATAAAACTCACAAAAGAAGACAAACTAAACTTACACTTATTGGTAATCTGAGCAAGCCGTGCCTTCTCCGAGGAGAATGTCTCATCCAGGTCAAACAGCTCCAGTGGAGGAGGTGGCAATTCCCTGAAACTGGGAGGGAAAACCTAAAAGAAATAGGGTCTGTCGTGAAAGAGCGTATCCAAAGCCAACCTGGCAGTGATGAGGCGTAAGGGAAACGAGAGGCCAACTCAGCCTTCCCTGGGATGGACCACCCATCACCCCTTCCTGCCCTCCCCCATCAGACCAGATCAAGCAAGACGACTACCCACTGTAAACAGCCAAGCAGAGCCAGCTCTAACTACACCACTAAACTGACCAAGCTGACGTACCAGCATCCACTGACTCCTGTAAGGACACAAAGCTTAAGGCTTATTAGGCTCATGTGTGGTGAACATTTGACTGTACAACTTGTTTCTCATTTAATCATGAACTCTTTAGGGACAGAAACTGGGGAAGCAGATGTAAATTAGTGTAGGAAGTGCTGAACTTGGAGCCAAATTTTATAGGTATGAACCAGTGGTGTGCTGATAAATGTTTATCAGCTCTCAAAACAAAAGGCCTGATCTACAGCATTTGTGATTTTCTGTGATGTAAATACTTCCACATGGCCATTTCAAGCTACCAAGATGAAGCCAAATGGCTCAGAATATTTCAGAATATGGTGGGACAAATCAATTTTTGAGAACAAGCTGAGTAAATGCTGGACTGGAATGTTGGAAAATCACCTTTATGCACATGACTATGCCCTGGGCTGTCAGAACTGTGCTATGAATCTGAGTGCCTGTTGCCTAGAAAGCTGCAGCACAACACTTTTCCTCTTTTTTACCTCAAAATCCTCACATATGCCCTCCAACCCCACAAGATGGAAAATGTTTAACAGCAAAAAATGTCTATGCCCTTGATTTCTCCGTTGGGAACTATACCAAATAAAAGTCTCTGCAGAATGCTATTAGATTTGGTTACTGTGCATGGTTAGAGCCAGAGAAATGATCCTCCATGAGGAGCGGCACAAATAGCATATGGAGGATCCACAGGAGGGCCCCGGCTGCCAAGGGAAGGGCAAACAGTGGGGTTGTGTAGTGGGATCCCCGGAGCACACCCACTTACCGCTGGCTGAAGGGCAGGCAGCGGCGTCTCAAACTGAGGTTGGATGAGCTGGAGAGGTTCATGTTTCACGTTGAGCTGTTCATAAGCCCTGTGTTAACAATAAAGAAAAGCAGGATCAAGATGAGAGACAGTGCGGAGAACATCTATGATCGTATGGTGCTCTTCTCCATCAAATGGGCGGTTCAGCACTTCTGCAGAAAAAGTGTGTGTTCTTACACGTGATGCACTAATCCGTTCGTGACTCTCCTCTACAGCATCATCGAGTACGAGTTCATTGAGAAGTGAAAGGGAAAGTTTTATATCAGGCTGCAATAAAGAAAAGCAGGATCAAGATGAGAGACAGTGTGCGGAGAACATCTGTGATCGTATGGTGCTCTTCTCCATCAGACGGGCGGTTCAGCACTTCTGCAGAAAAGTGTGTGTTCTTACACGTGATGCACTAATCCTTTCGTGACTCTCCTCTACAGCATCATCGAGTACGACTTCATTGAGAAGTGAAAGGGAAAGTTTTATATCAGGCTTCTCCTAGTAGGCTTTTCATTGTTACCCAATGAACACTGATTCTTTTAACTCACTGTTTCCTTGTGTTTTTTGTTTGTATTTTTAATAAGGCACCTGCTTTTTTTTCCTTTTACTTGATTTCACAGAGGAAGGGAGAGGGAGAGAGAGATAGAAACATCAATGATGAGTCATTAATCGGCTGCCTCCTGCACACCCCACAGTGGGGATTGAGCCCGCAACCCGGACATGTGCCCTGACCGGGAATCAAATCATGACCTCCTGGTTCACAGGTCAACACTCAACCACTGAGCCATGCTGGCCAGGCCTTATTTGTTTTGACCATCAGCAAACAGTACTCAAATCTGAAGTCTACATCTAGTAACTGAACAGATCTGTATGACATCCACATCTGTGTGCTCATTCACTCAACAAATACTTACTGAATGTGCAGGCAGTTTTAGTCACCAGGAGTATAGCAACAGTGAAAATAGATATTAAGAGCCCTGGCCGGCTCACTTGATTGAGTGTCGTCCCATGCACTAAGAAGTCGCCAGTTCAATTCCGGTTGGTTCGGTCTCCGGAAGGCAACTGATCGATGCTCTCTCACATCCATGTTTCTCTCTCTCTCTTTCTCTCCCCCCCCCCCCCCCCGCTCTCTCTCCCTCCCTCTTCCTCCTTCCCTCCTTCTCTTCCTTTCCCTCTCTTTCTCAAATCAATCAATAAAAATAAATAAATAAAACCAGGGAAGACCGAGGAAAAACCAGAACAAGTTGATCACCCTAAAAGGCTGATACAGCACCTGAAACACAGTAAGGGCTAACAACGGCTAGCCGTTCCCTCTGCGCCAGCACCCCTACCCCAATATCCCAGCCCTCTCTGTCAACCTCATCATAGACCTGAGAATGTGTTTTGCATACACATTTGCGTGACCCTAACCTCCCTCCCCAGGCTCATGTTTTTAAACCAAACACTCAGAATGAAGTGCAGTGCAGCCCAGAGAGCCACAGGTACTGACTTGATGACCTTGGAGAGGGAGGTGACATCCAGCTGGTAAATGGACAGGTCAAAGAGGGTGGTGAAGTCCCGTGGGTTCTCATCACCCTCTTGGAGACACACTCGAAGCATCTCTGACAGGGTGGCTGTGTCAGGCAGCATCATGTAGTCGGAAATCTGAAAGCCACAAGAGGGTTCCTTTCAGCAGGGCAGAAAGATTTTAATCTGTCAAGTCTCCAATGTCTCAGGTCTAAATCTGTAATATTTATAATCTCTTGCCAAGAGATTTCACCATTCCTGATCACTGACAACACCCTTAAATAAGCCACTCTGAGTCACTTCACTCAACCCCAATGCTGGCTAAATCCACCTCTCCAATTACTCATGCTGGTATTCACGTCACTGGACACAGCTGAAGAAACCCACACCATGCTGACTGGTCTGCTTTTAATTTCATGATCACTGACCTTGAGTGCTCAGCAATCAATAATATTCCCCTAGTCCAGGGGTGGGGAACATCCAGCCCGCAGGCCGTATAAAACCCGCAAAATCAGGCATTGGGGGTGAGTTCATTAAATGTTTGACCAAATACAGCAGGCTAATTTTTAAGTTGATACTTTTGTATGGCCAGTCAATGATGTTATAAATATCCAAATGGCCCTTGGCAGAAAAAAGTTTCCCTACCCCTGCCCTAGTCCATTCACTTCCCATATTCCTACAGTTTCCTTTTATCACTTCAACCATCTAAAGTGATTTTTCCTTTCTTAATTTTGCCAATGACCTTATTTTCTATTTCAGTGAGAAAACAGGCAATCACGTCACTTCAACCATCTAAAGTGACAAAAGTGATTTTTCCTTTCTTAATTTTAGCCAATGACCTTATTTTCTATTTCAGTGAGAAAACAGGCAATCACAAAAGAAAGTCCACAAGCTTCCACTACATCTACCCACCCACCAGCATCTGGGCCATACACTTTGCTTTTTCTCCTGTTACATGTACGAACCCCTATGATCTCAGATCAGACAACCCCCCCGCCATCCCCCTGCATGGACACTAGACCCCAGCCCTTCTCACACCTAACCAAGGACATGCCTAATGATGACACATGCTGTGTGCTGGAAACAGTAAAAGACCAAGAAAACTTAAATGTCCATCAATGGGAGATTGGCAAAATATACTACATACAAACAATGAAAACACAGTCTTAAAAAACAGGACAAAACTAACAAAAGCTTTTTTTTTTTTAATTTTTATTTCTTAAAGTATTAAAAAGAGTATTACATATGTCTCCTTTTATCCTTTCTTAATTTTAGCCAATGACCTTATTTTCTATTTCAGTGAGAAAACAGGCAATCACAAAGGAAAGTCCACAAGCTTCCACTACATCTACCCACCCACCAGCATCTGGGCCATACACTTTGCTTTTTCTCCTGTTACATGTACGAACCCCTATGATCTCAGATCAGACAACCCCCCCGCCATCCCCCTGCATGGACACTAGACCCCAGCCCTTCTCACACCTAACCAAGGACATGCCTAATGATGACACATGCTGTGTGCTGGAAACAGTAAAAGACCAAGAAAACTTAAATGTCCATCAATGGGAGATTGGCAAAATATACTACATACAAACAATGAAAACACAGTCTTAAAAAACAGGACAAAACTAACAAAAGCTCTTTATGTATAAATATGGGAACATCTCCAAGACAGATTGGTAATTTTGAAAAGTAATGTGCTATTAGTGTATATACACATTCGAGAAACTGCTAAGATTGCCATCACTGCGGATGGCAAAGAAGACTGTTTAAAGCAAAGAAGACTGTTTATTGCATATGCTTTTGAACTCCAAACTATGTGACTGTATTATCTACTCAAAAATTAATTTAAATTTAAATAAATGCATGCTGGCAACAAGAACTATTCCTTATGCCCTTTGAGCTGCATTTAGCCTTGATTCTAACAAGGCCAACTTGGTAACAGTTTGAAAATCGGTCCTCTGAAGTCACGCAACATACTGTCCCACATTCTCCAGCGCCAGCACTTGAGGAGCCACGCCTGAGCACTACAGAAATAAGTCAGGACAAACAGGCTCACTTTTCCCCTATATTCCAAGGGTCCAAGTCTCCCCCAATCCTCAAACTTTTTTGTAGACAAGAAACAAGGAAGGAGCATACAAGTAACTGCTCTTCTCCATAACACGGGTCTATTTTAGAAGCTCCAGCCCTCTAATGTGACAGTGGTTGAAGGTGAGAGGAGTAACAAGAGCCCAGCAATGGGCCCGGGAATCCCAAAGGTCCGAAGGCTGATTCTTGTCTCTGCACAGAGACCTGCTACAAACTCCTACTTCCGAAAAGCATCAAGGCCTTAAGTGTCCAGACAGAAACTTAAGAGTGCTCCTCAGACCACTGGTTTTCATGACTTCCTGGCAGCTTTTGAGGTTAAAACTTGTTATGTAAATTTCTTTAACTATTAATCGAGCCACCATTTTATTTGATTAAATATTTGAAATTGAGCTATATTATCTGGGTTTGAAACCCATTTGGCTGTAACAAGATTTGACTGAAAACCATAGGAAGTTCAGGTTCTCAGGATGTCTTACTTCGCAATGCTACTGGATCCAGCCTTTTACTTTCCGAAGCCTTCAAACTCCAAGGACAGTTTTCACCAGGCCTCACACCTGGAAGACACATTAACCTGCATGGTTTTAGAGGAAGGCTTCACGACACTGTATTCCTCTGGCTTCCTGTCGGCATGTCCCCTCAGAACCAGTCCAGTGTCACATGTGAATAACAGAGAAGAGACACGGGCTCCGCAATCAAGCTGACGTGGGCATTAATAATGGCCTGGTCAGGTACTAATCTCAGCGGGGAGCTTCAAGAATTTAGTTGCTTCAGTTTCCTCAGCTGGAAAACAGGAGTGACGGAAACTGAGCAGGAGCAAGGTGGCCGCCCAGAACGGGAGTGGATGCAGCATCTCGGGGCTGCGTCCCTTGACCTACGACCCTCTAACTAGGGTTGGCAGCTGCCAACGATCCATCCACTCAGAGTTGGGTCCTGTGAGATCTGAAAAGTGAATTCCTGGGTGCACCCCAATTCTTTTATCTTGGGGGCTTACATCTCTTTTCAGGAGGAATCTAAGCTAACTAGCCATGCACTTACTGTTTCCATGTAAGGGAGTATCAGACATGGGGCTCTCCTGCTTCCTAACCCGAGTCAGCTCCTGGGGGGCCATGTCCTCAGCTGAGGGTGGAGGCAATCGGGACACATTTCTGACTGCCTTCTGCCCACTTCCACTCCACTCCACACCCAGGAACTCATTTTCCTGACATTTTGAGGTTAAGGCACAGAGAAGCAACTGTAGAATGAGTGGACTGAATCAGGAGACCTGGGCTTGGATCCTGGCTCCACACGTGCTTGAAATCTGAGCACACTGTAATCTTACAGAATTTTAGTTTCTTCATCTATAAAATGAGTTTAACACCATCTACCTCCCAGGGCTATTTCGAGGCTTAGATCAGATGGTTTATGTGGAAGTATATGATATACAGTAATTACAAAAGTTAAAAACAATGTCTTGTAGAGATCTATAGCACCTTTTACACCTTCTAGTTTAACAAGTCTATTTACATCTATGAACTTAGACCTCACAATCACACTGTGAGGCAGACATCACAGGTATTAGTGTCCCCTAAAAACTAGAATGAAAAAAAGGACAAAATAACCTGCTGAAGGCCCAAGGACTGGTGGTGAAGGCTATTGGTGCCCAGTCCAGTGCTGGTTTTACCACTGGTCCTAAGACTGGTATTATTATAATACCTTTAGGACTTTTATTGCCAAAGGCCACAAAATCATAGTTTAAAACTTCAATTCAGATGATTCTTGTTTCTTTCATGAAAAAAATATTTTTATATCCTTCATATTTCTGAAAGAAGTATTTCTCTACAGATACTGATTTTGAAAATTTGAACCAGGCACCATATTTTAAAATTCCAATTATTATATACATATAGAGGCTCCCATGCCAATAAATTCTATAATTATGTAATTTGATTTACTATTTTTTTTACAACACAGCCTTCATCTCCCCAACAAGCATCACTTCCTGCCATCTGTCTTACAGACAAGGTAAGAGATCTATTCCCTTCGTACTGTTAGAAGTGGTGCTGAGAAGGTGGACTCCATTTTCATTTAAAAGTCTTTTTAATGATTCACAACCTCCTACCTCTGGATCCTCAGCATCAATCTGGTTAAGATGAATGTCTTCTGTTGTAAGCCATTGGAAAACAACATCCTGTATTTTAAAAAAAAATAAGCCGGAATTAAACACTTGGTTATTTGAGAAAGCCAAAGACAAGAATAGAGAATTCAATCAATAAAGAAAAATTAATAATAGGAAAAAGACTGAACCAGTGATTCAAATGAGAGTACCACCTTCCTCTTTGTGAAATCATATAAAAACTTAAGTTTTCCTCACTGTAATGCCACTTTTATTATCGGAAATTTATTGTTTATCTTAGGGCGTTCTATCCTCTAACCACAAGCCAGATTTGATAAAAATGTGTTTTCAGTCCCAAAGCAATCCCTGTTAAATGTGCTGAAAGTCTGCACTTAAATCAGAGAATATACCTAGATCTCCCCAGACTGTCTAGTGACAACGGAACTTCATGTGGGTTCCACAAAATCAAGCACTTAATTCATCTCCCAACACCTAGAGTCCTGAAGGCCTCAAGTCTCCAAGGCTGAAGGACTGCATTTCATTAGTGGAAAATGGGAGTTTCTTCCTCTGGGAAGTGAGTCACTGGAATCACATCAATGGACACCTGGGCACGCAGTCTGTCACCCTTCACAGGTCTCCTTCACACTATTCTGAAGCAGCTGCCACACCTGTACCTCATTCCCCACATCCATCAGTGACCCCTCCTAGCCCGGGATGATATGCTCAGTGGTTAGAGTGTTGGCCGTGCACTGAAGGGTCACAGGTTGGGTTCCTGGTCAAGGGCACGTACCTGGGTTGCAGGTTCAATCCCTGGCCCCAGTCAGGGTGTGTGCTGGAGGCAACCAATCAATGTCTCTCTCTCACATCAATGTTTCTCTCTCTCTCTCTCTCCCCTTCACCCTCCCTCCCTTCCTCTCTCTCTAAACATCATGAAAAAAATATCTTCACATGAGGATTAACAAAATAAATAAATACCCCCTCCTAAATACTGCTTGTGCCTGCTAGCCCCCTCACCTCATTCAGGACCTCCCTTCAGGTCCTGTCTCCTCTTACCTGGCTGCCTCCACCAGCCTCAGAACTGGCCCCAGGCTGCCTCCTCCTTTCCACTTTCCATATGCCTTACCGAGGGGTCTTTCTAAAACTCAGATCTGACTATACTCAAGGCTGCTCAACACCTTGCAAGGGCGCCTGAGGCTTTCTGCAGAAAGTTCAAGCTCCTGAACTTTGTACATGAGACCCTGACTGGGCCTGTTCCCAACCACTTCCCCACATCGGCTCCCACTCTACGTTGGCATGCTTAGAAACACTCGCCACTTCCTTCTGGATTTCCTTCTTGGTCTCTCACGCTCTCTCTCTCTCTCACTGCATTATACAGTCTCAAAGTAGAGACTATGCCTGACTCAACCTCGTATTCTTAGTGCATGGCACAAAATGGACTCTGAACAGCTGGTTTTAAAAGAAAAGATGAATTGGTATTTTTTTAAATGACATGAAAATCATATTTATACATTATATGTTAATGTGATGAAAGGGAAAGGCTTACCATGATTTTGCTATTTTCTTCTTTATCCAAATATTGGTCACTAAACATGTGACATGAGCCAAGCACCGCCAGCTTCCCACCTTGGTTCTGCAAATGACAAAGCAGCATCAGACTTTAGGATGCCAAAATACACTGCATGCACCCTAGTTTCCAAACACCTATCATCAGAATTATGTAAGCAACTGTTTTGTATATAAATAAGTGCCAATTCTCATCAGGATTTCAACAGTCTAGAAATATCAACTATAATAATAACCACATTCCAATCTGCTTCTCATTTTAGACGCTTATATTGGACTTTAACAAAAAACACTGTGAATTGGTTCTATAGCATTTCCCACTGTTATCTTATAAAGATCATAACCTCAAAGAAAAAAAAAAAGATAAATCCAAAGAGAGTTCAAGACATTTTCAAGTAACAAAAATAGTATTAGTTAACTAAGATCCAAACTAGAAAACTAAGCCATGAGCATGAAAAATTCACAACAGAAATGAAAAAATTTCAATATTAATAATTTTAAACATCAAAATAAAGTATTTTTGACTATTAGATTAATAAATATGTCAAAATGAATAAAAGCAGTGTTGATCAGGTTTCAGTTCTTTCACACAATGTTGCTAAAATTGTCAATATATGCAACAAAGCAGTCTGAAATATACAAAAACTTATGCACTATTTTACAGTTATAATCACACAAAAATTAGAAATAAACCCATTTGCCTTGGCTGGGTAGCTCAGTTGGTTAGAGTGTTGTCCCAATACAACAAGGTTGCGGGTTCATAATCCCTGGTTGGGGCACATACAGGAGGCAACCAATCAATGTTTCTCTCTCACATTGGTGTTTCTCTCTTTCAAAAAAAATCAATAAGCATATCTTCAGGTGAGGCTAAAAAAATTTTTTTTAATTAGAAAGAAGTTATAATAGAGATAGCCTCATGCTATAGTGGAAAGCTTTGGATTGCTCCATCAATTATCCCCATAAGTAAAGTGTAGATCATTGAAATGCCACTTTGCAGGACTGTTGAGCAGACCAATGAGAAAATACTGTATATGAAACCCCTCTAGAAACAGTAGCTTTTACTACTTCAATAATAAAAGAACATATCCACTCATGTCTAGGAAAGGCTGTACCTTGGAGTGATAGAAAGCCAGAATGGGTCTGTTCAGTGGAAAACAGACAGAACCCGTGGACAGAACAGCAACTGCTGGTTTCATGACACTCAATGTGGCACCAAAAGGATATACAAAGGTGAGAGCCCTGTAAAACATTAAAGAAACATTCCAATTTTAAAAAATAATGAATAAAAACTTTGTGAAGATAATTTCAGCCTGGCCGGCGTGGCTCAGTGGTTGATCATTACCTATGAACTAGGAGGCGGTCACAGCTCAATTCCTGGTCAGGGCACATGCCTGGGCTGCAGGTTCAATCCCCAGTAGGGGCCATGCAGAAGGTAGCCAATCAGTGATTCTCTCTCATCATTGATGTTTCTCTCTCTCTCCCCCTCTCCCTTCCTCTCTGAAATTAATAAAAATATATTTTTTTAAAAAAAGATAATTTCAGTGTTTCTTCAGTAATTCATCATCAAACACAAAATATCCTCTAAGCTTTGATTTGTTAACACAAAAATTAATATAATTCTAGCTACCAGGTTAATAAAGCACTTTAAGAAATATGAATGTAAATTAACAATTTACAACCATATGTGCAAATGACTATAACTAGAAGAACTAAAGTAGCCCCTGTGGAGGGGGAGGAAGAGGGAGCCTCATCTAAGAACTGAACCGAGTTCCACATGAGCCTGCTCTGTACAACAACGTCGCAGAGGTAAACATTTCCCTCTCCCTGACAGATCTGACTGGTGCTCTCTCTAAGAATGACTGTCCAGCATTAGAAGAGTGTGCTACCGACTTGTATGCATGCATATAAGCATAACCAATGGACATAAGACACTGGGGGGTAGGGGAGGCCAGGGGATTGTCAAGGGCGGGGAAAAAAAAAAGGACACATATGTAATACCCTTTGTAATACTTTAAGCAAAAAAATAAATTTAAAAAAATTAATAAATAAATTTAAAAAAAGAAAAAAAAAAGAAGAGTGTGCTACCAATTGAGCGCTTACATGAACAGAGGCACGCATCTACTCCACTGAACTCTTCTACACAGACTGTCCTAACAGAGACTTAGGGTATCTCAAGTGAATCAGTCTGACTTGGGCAACGTACTCATGGAAAGGGAGTGGGGTGGAGGTGGGGAAAGGAGGAGGCATATCCTGGGGTAAGGCCAACCGATATAGAAGGGGCAGGGTTTTACTGAAAGAAAGCTGGAGCTCTGCAAAGGTAGTTGTTTGAAGGAAGTGCTCTCAGAATGAAGAAAAGCAGCAATGTTAAAACCAAAGCATAAAGTTAGAAACTTGGGGGCTTGGGGGGCATGAGGAGTCTCCTATTAAGAGTTTAATTTATGCCCTGTTAGTTGGAGTGTCGTCCCATACACCAAAAGGTTACAGGTTTGATTCTGGGTCAGGGTACATATCTAGTTTGTTGTGAGGATTAAATGAGATAATATATGCCTGTCACATAGCAAGTGCTTCATAAATTAGATATTATTAAAACAAAATATTATAAATTATCTATATGTTCTATAATAAGAGATTAGATAAGTTCAAATAAATCCAATTTTATCTAGTCATTAAAAATTTTTATGTATGAAAAAATACCTAGAAATCTAAATACCATACTGTTAAGACATATTATCTTTAGCAGATTTACAGTAAAGGACTTCTATTTTGTTTCAGAATTCTTTTTTTCTTTTTTACGAATTCCTTTAGTATTATACCGGCTTCTGCTTTTTTTAATATATATTCCATATTATCTTGTATTAATTTCAGGTGAACAGCATAGTGTTTGGACAATCATATAATTTGAACTGTTCAAAAAGCTCTTCATTTTGAAAAAGAAAACTCTTTAGAATGACAAAGGCGTCACCTTCAGGTGCCTCAGAAAACACACTCACTGGGCATTGTTTCCACTGCTCTCCTCATCAATGATTCCAGGCACAGCCTTCCCTGCAGCTCGGCTAATCTCCCTTGAAGAAAAATATTAAAACAATTTAGGAATTTCACCCTCCATTCAGTAGTAGCATAAACTAGATGTGAGGACTTTGCAGAGTTGTTCAAGACACAATTCTTAATAACTAAAGGTATACACCCATTACACACCTATACCTCTTTTGGGAAACTTGCAAAAGTTAACATTAAAGTATAAGGATCAGTTCCTGTTTCTTGAGACCCGAGGGAGGGGTCCATATACTAAACCCACATTCTAGATTAGCATTCTAGACTCTGTATCATCAGAGCCGGCAGAGTACCTGCCATGTAACAAGTTCAAGGGTGGAATCATTTTTCATATAGGGAAAAGCTCACAGAAGGCACCTGATGTTGTTCCCCTCAGGCACTCATTTCCCACTTCCCTAAAGCCCCAAATTTATGTTTTCAGAGACAATGGATCAGAAAGAACTGACTTCATCCCAGGCTCCAGGGCTGGAGAACATGAGTTAGCTATGCCATCAGGGCATTCTATGCCCTCTGCCACAGTGACCAGCCTGGATGTGCATGTGGCCTAGGCCAGCTCAAACAGGGCAAATGTCAGGGCTATTCTTGATGGGAATGCTGGAACTCAGGCACACGCTCTTTCCCCAGATGGTGTGGCAAGCGGAGCTGAGTCTGAGAACTGTTAAAACTTCAGCCCACACACGCAGGAGAGCAGATCCAATACACTTGCAGAGAAATGGAATTGGAACCCTGAAGACAACATGTACTTTCCATTAATCCATGTCCAAAATTTGCCTATTTCTGAGCTTTTCAATTGCATGAATCAATAGTCTCTTTAGTGTTTAATCCCATTTGAATAGGGTTTTCTGTTGCTTGCAACTGAATGTATTCTACTAACAAAAAGGGTGCTCTAGTCGGTGTTTCTCAGTGGTTAGTGTGTCGGCCCCTCTCACTGAAGGGTTGGGGATTCGATTCCAGGTCAAGGGTTCGCTCCCTGCCCCTGGTTGGGGCGAGTGCAGTAGGCAACCAGTCAATGTGTCTCTCTCACATCAATGTTTCTCTCTCCCTCCCTCCCTCCCTTCCTCTTTCCCTTCTACTCTCTCTGAAAAGCATAGAAAAAGTATCCTCAGGTGAGGATTAATAAAAAAAATAAATGAATAAATAAAATAAAAACTGACAAAGGGTGAATGTTTAGTAAGGTTTCAAAAGATGGGAGGAATATAAATTGATGGATGAGAAGTAATACAGTAAATAAATTATGATACAATGAAATGAAATAAAACAAAAGGGAAAGAGAAAAAATGGCCAGTGAAATGAATGTGGGAGAAGAAAAGAGGGAAGATTCATGTAGGAAAGATGAGAGTCATTTATAAAGACATTTCTGCTTTCAACATGCTTACCTATTCAAGACTCCATTGGAAACTAGAGCTTCTTTAGGATGGAAATACTTATAATATACATTTCTAACCACAGCATCTTTAAGGGGAAAAGACAGGAAGGCACATTCAGATTAGAAGTAAGTTTGATATTACTAGTAAAGATGCTTAAAACTTTGATCTGAAAGGGATCCTGAAACTCTGTCCCACTCCCTCTCACTTTATAAACAGAGGAAGCCCAGGCCCAGAGGTTCAGACTGCCAGTGAGGCCAGAATGCTGGACCATGTACCCTCACAGCCCAGGGGTTTTTCCATTGTACTATTAGGCCCAGAGGGCTACACCTGGAATAATAAATAGGAAATGACTGCCTCTATTAAATTAATAATAACAATTACCATTATTAACCATGATTCCATATTCTTCAAGGAGAAAGTTAATATTGGTGTCAAATCTGGATTCCCCACCCTCTCCTAGCATCACAAGGATATCTCCACCGCCGTCAAGGTATTTCTTCAGGACCTCAAACTACACAAAGGAAAAAAACAATCTGTGAATATACCCAAAAAACTTTGGTCCACAATTCTATGAATAAGATCTTAACTACCTTAAAAATAAACACTTCAAATCTATAAGGCACCTAAATATAAATGTATATAATATAAAATTTACTTTCCTCATAGGATTTCCAAGCTTGTCTTTAAACATAAAGCTCAAAAATACTCAAACTAAAGTGACATTTTCCAAGTTGACAAGCAAACTGAAAGTGGGAAACTATTAGCTGAAGGAAGCTCACGGGTCTCCTTCACTCAGCAACATCCCTGGTTTCTACTTATTAGATGCCAATTGCACCTACCCGCTCCCGACAACCCAAAATGTCTCAGATATTGCCAAATGTCCCCAGGCACTGGTCGCTGGCCCTCTCTCTGGATACTCTCACTTTTCGAGGCTGCTTGCTCCTTGGCAAGGACCTGGTCACTGCTCTCTGTCTTCCCTAGGTGGAGAAGGGAGGTGGTGGGGGAGAGAATATGCTGGAGTTAGGCCAAAGCCCAACAAATAAAGTTACTCTTGTGCAGGCCATTACCAGCTGCGTAACCATCTCCCCCAGGGTCTCACTGGGAAGGGTAGCTGGTCACCTCCATATTCCCAATGGTAATTCCTACTCCTTTCAATTCACCTGATGAAGCAGTTACCTCTTCATGCCCTTCCTGGATGAGGTGGCCTTGCAATCAGGTTGAGAAAAAAAGGACAACAGGAACGCTCCCCTGTGGACTCCTCTCTGGCCCCACCCAATATAAGAACAGGAGACTTGGTCTGCCTCAGACTAAGGACCACACTGGCCCCACCCTAGCTTCACCTCCCTGCTCCCCACAGCCCTCCCTGGGCACCAAGGCACTTTTCCAAGTCTCTGTGGGAAAGGCTCTTGCTGTGTTGTGGTTTTTTGGTTTTTTTAATTGTGGCAAAATACATATAAGATTTACCACCTTAACCATTTTATTATTTTTTAAATATATCTTATTGATTTTTTACAGAGAGGAAGGGAGAGGGATAGAGAGTTAGAAGCATTGATGAGAGAGAAACATCTATCAGCTGCTTCCTGCACACCTCCTACTGGGGATGTGCCCGCAACCAAGGTACATGCCCTTGACCAGAATCGAACCTGGGACCCTTGAGTCCGCAGGCCGACGGTCTATCCACTGAGCCAAACCAGTCAGGGCCATCTTAACCATTTTAAATGTACAGTTCAGTAGTATTAAATATATTCACATTGCTATGCATCCAATCTACAGAACTCTTCATCTCACAAAATTAAAACTCTACATCCATTAAACAGCAACTCCACACTTCCCTCCCCCATACCCCAACCCCTGACAACTAGCATTGTAATTTTCTCTCTATGAATTTGACTACTCTAGATACATCACATAAATGGAATCATAAAGTATTTGTCTTTTTGTGTCTGGCTTATTTCACTTAGCATAACATTCTCAATATTCATTCATGTTGTAGCATATATCAGAATTGCCTTCCTTTTTAAGGCTGAATAATAAATCATTATATGTATAGACCACATTTTGTTTATTCATTCATCTGTTGATAGACACTTGGGTTGCTTCCACCTTTTGGCTAGTGTGCATTATATAAACATGGGTGTGCAAGTAACTAACTCTTTGAGATCCTGCTTTCAATTCTTTTGGATATATGTATATCCAAAAGTATGATTGCTGGATCACAGGATAATTCTATTTTTAATTTTGAGGAACCACCATACTTTTTCCATACTGTTTGAGGCTGCACCGTTTTACATTTTCACCAACAGTGCACAAGGGTTCCAATTTCTCTACATCTTTGCCAACACTTGTTATTTGTGTTCTGGGTTTTACATTTATCATTCTTTGTCTATTCCATGAAATAAAATAATTTAAAATGGAATTTTCCTATTTTCAAAGCAAAAATATGGCAAAGAAGTGTGACTAATATTTAAATGAGCCTACAGTATGTGTCTGCCACTTTTCGTGCATTATCTCATTTAACCATCACAACTCAATCAAAAAGAAGATGACGCCAAAACCGGTTTGGCTCGGTGGATGGAGCATCGGCCTGCGGACTGAGGGGTCCCGGGTTCGATTCTGGTCAAGGGCATGTACCTTGGTTGTGGGCACATCCCCAGTAGGAGGTGTGCAGGAAGCAGCTGATAGATGTTTCTCTCTCATCACTCTATCCCTCTCCCTTCCCCTCTGTAAAAAAACAATAAAAAAAATTTAAAAAAAAAAAAAAGAAGATGACGTCAGCACCTGAAGGCAACACAGTAAGTGGTAAATAAGAGTTTAAATCCAGAATTTCAGAGCCCAGGCTCCTAACCACTTCATTATATTTTTTCTTTATAAATATATTTATTTTATTTTATTATTTTTTTAAAGGGTATTTCTTACCTCAGCTGCAGTAAATTTTTCCCTTGGCCCAGCTGTAATCCACAGTTTCACACCAATTAACTTCTCAGATGTGATTTCATCTTTTAAGCTACAAATATGATTTTAAAAGCAAGTGTTAGATCCATAATTAAACCAATTTATGTCATTTTAGCCTCTAGACTTTATGGACCCAGGGGCCACCAAGGCCTGGAAATAACGGGAGTTAGAGGTGGCACTACAGCCTCCCCCACAGTGAGAATCTCCACTACAAGCTGGCACCAGAGCCATCGGCCTCTGCTCAGATGCTTCCTCTAAGCCACATTAAACTGTGCCAGAGCAGAAAGAACCCTCCCACTGCTAATGCAATCACATCTACCATTAGCTTGTATGACTACATATCCTTACCCACTAAAAAAAAACAACACACCCCAAAAAGAGAAATATTTTCATTTTTCCTTTCTCTAAATTGAAGTATAACCTAAGTTAAAATATGGAGAACACCTCTAACGTCTTAAAAAGTTGTATATGTATAATTAGAATAATTTTTTTGTGATTTGGGGGATAACTTAATAATATGCTAACTGCCAATTTTCAAGAAATGCTTTAATAATTTATTTACTTCTGAATGATCCTTAAATTGAGCTCTTCCCACCTAAACAATCTGGCCTATATAAGAAAATGAAAAATTTCAGTTTTAGCAGCAGGCTATTATTATTTGGAAGGGAAAACAATCCACAAGATCACCTCTGAATCTTCCAATTGCTCCGAAGTCTCTTCTGCATCGATTTATAGCCATTGTTGGTGATAAACACTTCCTTTTTGTATGCATTGAAAAGAATGGTGCTCCGAAGCTCCTTCTCCATGGTTACCTATGGAAAAAAGAAGGGATCAGAAAAAGAAAAACAATAACCAACAGTCCAAAAGAAAGACCCCAAAAGAAACAAAGGCGTCTACTTCTTCTAATTTAATGAGAAAGGGTAGGAAGCTGCAACATACCTATGAAATCTCTGCAATTCTCAAAGGTTGAGAGTGAAACGCATAGCTGCAGAAACCTACGGCCAACCCTGGTGACCTCGTGTCTCTTGCCTTGGCCTTCCCACCGGCCGACTCACATGGCCCTGCCCTGCCCTCACCCTATCCCTGTGGAGACCATGATTCCTTACTGCTCACTACTGTTAACTATAAGGTATAGTCTTATTTTTCCTTTCCTTTTTTTCTTTTTACATTAAGTTTATTGGGGTGACATTGGTCAACATGGAGGTATAGTCTTCTAGATTCTTTTTATACATTCATAACTTGTAGTTTTATTTATAAAATAGGATTTTATCATATGGACTATTTCACAACACTCTTTTTTCACTTAACTCTGTATTTTTTCACATCTTTCCATGTTGGTACTTAGGGATCTTTTTAAAAAAAAAAAAACACAACTACACAGTATTCCATTTTATAGATATACCATAATTAAACTAGTTATATACAAACTGGCATTTTTCCCCAAAAATTTTGCTAGTAAAACAATATTACCAATCACCTTTGAACATGATGCTTTTGTGCACTTTCCATATTTGTAGAATAAATTCCTACCTATTGAATGGCTAAGTAAAGTGCCCTACAAAAATTTGTAACTTTTACTTCCACTAATACTAATACTATTTCTAATCCTTTTTATCTCTTCTAATAAGATAGGCACCCCATTTAGTTTTAATTAGCACTTTAATATTAGCGAGATGGCCATCTTTTACTGTTTATACTGGCCACTTGTATTTCTTCTGATTTCCTTGTGCATATACTCTCCTTATTTTTCTGTTGGGTTTAATATTTTTCTAACTGATCATTAAACAAATACTTTCACAAATGTGTCTTTAAACGTAGCTTATAGGAAGGAGCTTTCTTTGTTTGATTTGGTGAAATTTTGCAGGCCATACAGAAGGTTTTAAATTTTAGAGTCAAAAGTATTAATCTTTTCCTTTCTTGCTTCCGAATTGCATGACCTAATTAGAAGAATTTTTGCCATGCTAAGGTTATGAATACACCCGACAATGCTTTCTTCCCATACTTACATGTCATTTTTAAAAATGTAAATGCTGAGACCATGGCTGGGTAGCTCAATCGGTTAGAACATCCCCCCCGATATGCCAAAATTGTGGTTACATCTCCAGTCAGGGCACATACAAGCAACCAATGAATGCATAAATAAGTGGAACAACAAATCAATCTCTCTCCCTTCCTCTCTCTCTAAAATCAATCAATAAAAAAATAATGGTCCATTTGGAATTTATTTCAATGAAAATAGTTACTTTTTACTAGAAAGCTGCCCGACACCTATCGAACTTCTCAATGCTGATTTTTAAAAATATATATTTTTATTGATTTCAGAGAGGAAGGGAGAGGGAGAGAGAAATAGAAACATCAATGATGAGAGAGAATCATTGATTAGCTGCCTCCCGCACACCCCCTACTGGGGATTGAGCCCGCAACCCCGGCATGTGCCCTTGACCGGAATCAAACCTGGGACCTTTCAGTCCGCAGACTGATGCTCTATCCACTGAGCCAAACCAGCTAGGGCTTGATGCTAATTTAAAACATCACCTTGACTATACAATAAATCACTATAAATATCTGGATCTTATTCTGAATTCTATACATTCTACCTGCCTGTAGTTCCTGCTCAGTTCCATACTATTTTAATTACTACAGCTTTATAATCCTTCCTATATAATAAAAGGCTAATATGCAAATCAACCAAACGGTGGAATGACTGGTTGCTATGACACACACTGACCACTAGGGGGCAGAGGCTCAATGCAGGAGCTGCCCCCTGGTGGTCAGTGCACTCCCACAGGGTGAGCAGAAGCCCTGAGCCAGGCTCATGGCTGGCAAGCGCAGTGGCTGTGGCCGGAGCCTCTCCCCACTCCATGGCAGTGCTAAGGATGTCCAACTGCCGGCCTAGCGGGCAGGCCTAATCTGTCAGTCGGACATACCCCGAGGGCTCCCAGGCTGCGAGAGTGCACAGGACGGGCTGAGGGGAACCTCCCCCCGCCAACAGTGCATGAATCTGGTGCACTGGGCCTCTAGTTATGTTATAATTTCTGGTGATACTGGAGAACTAATCCCCCTTATTATTTTTTTAAATTTTCGGTTTTTACACACACCGTATTACTCTTAATTTTTAGATTTTCCTGGCTAGTCTCACATATTTACTTTTGCAGTTTAACTCTAAAATCATTTTGTCAGATTTTTTTAAATGTCCCCATGAACCCACCACAGCTATCTTTTCCTGTTTTATTTCATCCCTGTGCGTGCTTGTTTTTTGTGTGTATATACAACATCGTACACTGCTTTCTCCAGCTTCCCACAGGAAAAGTCTTCATGATTAGGTTAATGGTTGCATGGCTATGTCATAATGAACTGAACCACCGCCCTCATGGGCATTTTTTCAATTCCGTGCCAGCATAGATACCACTGGAATTTACGTATTTCTACTTCTGTCATTATTTTTGTTGCTGGGCAGATTCCTAAAGCGGGATTCCTAGGAAAAGGGGACGGGGCCAATATGTTACGAGTCCTTGTCCAACGCTTTCACACTCTGCAGGACCACTGAAAACCCGCGCGGCCGGAGGCGATGGAGACTCGAGCCCAGTCCAGGGTCGGGGATTCAGGCCTACATCGTGCCCAGTTTACTTTACGCCAGGGGGCCTCTATTTTCCATAAGACCGGCCCCGGGCCCCCGAGGACGGCGCCAGGCCGCCCCAACGCCCCGGCTGGCCCGTCACGGTCAGAGCTCTTCTTACCTGAGGCCCGGTGACCACCATCTTCACCTGACGCCGCCCAGCATCCCGCCGCCAGGTATCCAAGGCCTCTTAGCAACGGCGGAGGCCGAGCGGCGCGCTGGGACAGCGTGGACCGGGCGTGGCGTACCTGAGCCACGTGATGACGACAGAACGGAAGACGCCGGTGGTGGTAGGGGCGGGACTTAAATGGGACTGTACCATTATGTTGGATGGGGTTAAATCCAGACAGAACGTGGATTGATTTTAGGCCAAAGATAACCCGATTTAATTGTGTCTTTAGTACCAAGTCTTATTAAAGGCTGGTAAAAATGGTAGGTCCCAAGGGCCTGAACTTCGCTCGACCCCGAGGATGAAGAATAGTGAAGACTTCCGGTCCGGGGTGCGGGTAAGCAACACCCCAGATCGATCCCCAGAGCGCAGGCGCCAAGGGGCAGGGGGCGGGGCTTAGCGGCTGG